AAAAAAAAAAAAAAAAAAAAAAAAAAAAAAAAAAAAAAAAAAAAACTTTCGGGTGGGGGGGGGGGGGGGGGGGGGGAATATAGGTTTCTGCATTGAATCCATTCAGTTTTCCAGATTGAAGAAACAGATTTGATGGAGGGAGGGAGACTGGTTCTAAATCTAACTTTCAGGAAATTAAATGTTTGAGATCCCTGCCCTTTTTTAAAATAAGACTAAATATATAACAATTTGACATCTTTTGAAAGTCAAAGGGAAAATAAGGAATAAGCATCTCTACACTTTTAAAATCAGTGTCCTAAAACTGTCATTCCTTCCCAATGTGTGAAACATTCAAATTTCTACAGGAAAATAAATACTTCAAACACACTGTCAAGTTTCAATATAAATTTAGTAAAGCTGTTTTGCAGTAAAGAAAGACTGTCCTCACCTCGGTGAATATCACTTCTAGTCACCCAGTTCTGCAAGTCAGATCCTAGGAAGGAGTCATCAGTGGGGCATCCCTCCTCCCTCACCCAAGCTGATACCAAGCCCCATCAATTCTACCCCTTAAACATCTCTCAAATATGCTGACTAATTCCTCTCTCTACTGATAGTTCCCTGGCCTAACCTACTTTCGTATCTCCCTAGACCACTTCTCCTCAGTGGAGAAGGATTTTCAAAACACAAATCTGATCATATCATTCCTCTTCTCAACAGCCCACAGTGCACCTCCTTCTTCTTAGGGTAACTGGAAGAATGCTTCACAAGGCTCCCAAGGCCCTGATGACCTGTCCCCTGTCCTCCTTTGTAGCCAAAGCTCATACAACATGCTCTCGTCATTCTCAGAGCTCCAGTCACTCATTTTTTTCAGCTTCTGAAACATGCCAAGCTCTCCCTTCACTCTCAACCCTGACCCTCTTTAGAGAAACTGCTTCCTCTGTGTAGAATATTTTCCTATCCCTACCCCTTGTTCCTCTTATCCTTCAGAACTCGGTTCAACTGTCATTCTTTGCAACAAAGCCTTCTTTCATTCTCTAGTCCAGACCCTTTTATGCTCTCACAATGCCTTGTACTTATACTTTAGTCTCATAGCACAGTCTGTGATATCATTTGATTAATGTCTGCTTCCCCTACTAAATCGTAAACTCCATTAGGGCATGGATTTCATCTATTTTGCTTACCCACTGTGTTCCTAGACTAAGATCAGGGCCTGGATGAATAAATGAATTAACAAACTATTTAAAATTTTCAAAACAACAATAATATGTGACTGTTTATTCTACAAATCTTAAACCTAATGAACAACAGCTTAGTTCTACTAACAACTGAGTCTATGAGTCCCTCTAAAATACTATTTTTATACAGCTAAAAGCTATTGAGAATTTATTATATGCAAGGCAATTTGCTAAGTATCTTACATATGTTACGTCATTTAATCCTCACAATAACCATTAAAGGGTTGTTGTGAAGGTTAAAAGAAATAATTCATGTAGACATTTAGAACAATGTCTGGCATATTATAGGTACTCAAAAATCCCCAGCTGCTTCTACTGCTGCTGCTGTTATTGTTATTATTGTTGTTGTGGCCCTAATTTTATACTTGAGAAAACTGAGGCTCAGAAAGGCATCTTAAGTTTTTTTATGTCATTGTAAAACATCAGTTTGTAAATTTCCATTTCTCTTTATTTGTGCTTGTATACAGAAATACAGTTGATTTTTGTATATTGACTTTGTACCCAGAGACCTTGCTAAAGTTACTGTGGGATTCTCTTTCGAATTTTCTGTGTACACAAGTCATGTCATCTATGAATAATAAGTTTTATTTCTTTCTTACATTTGTTCTTCTTGCCTTAATCCACTACCTAAGACCTCCAGTATGAGGCTGAATAGAAATAGTGATAGTACCCATCTTAATCTCGGTCCTGATCTCACAGGCTCCCTTCAATATTTCACTACTAAGTATATTTGATGTAGTGTTTTTGTAGCTTTAGAATCCAGATCTATGGTACTATAAGCCACATTCTCAGTCTTGGCCTGTCTGCCTCTATACCTCTCTGGGCTCACTCCCCTTTATTATCTCTCCCAGTCTCTGTTCTTGAATTTCTTCATCATTCCCTCACCTGCTTTCCCTCTCTCTCTTGACCTTCTTCTCTTTCTTGCTCTCCAGTTTTTCTTTCTTCTTATCATCTCTTTCTCCTCTCTTCCTACCCCACCTTTCCCCTTATTTATTTAACTGCTCTAGTAAAGCTTGTATTTTCTTAATTCTTAATTTATTTTATTTTATTTATTTATTTTGGCAGCTGAACAGTACAGGGATTGAACCCTGGACCTTGGCATTATCAGCACCACACTCTAAACAGCTGAGTTAACCATACAGCCCTTAATTTTCTATTTTAAAAGATGAGTTAAATACCTTTGGTTGCTTTTTATATTTTCCTTGGTAGTTTGCTAATCTTTAATAAAGGGGCTTCAATTTGCTCTATAGTCTAGAGGGACTTTTTAAAAGTCCCAAGACAAGAAAGATTGAAGAGAGGGAGAGGTGGGAGGAATGCTCAGACCAAACTGGGTAAACTAGGCATAAAGCCCAGCTTAAGGGACCAAGGTGAGAAACCAATGGCTATCTCAAACATGCCCAGGCTGGCATCCCTTGGAATCCCCTTGTTGTCCTGGTTATGCTCTATCATTACTTTGTAATATTCTATATTTCCTTATCTATGGACAAGAATATCCATTGATTATTGTATTCCCTTTTGTAATATATGACAATCTAATCCTTTGAACTGGATTCTCTCACCTTCTCCCTATTCGAAGTGTATATTTACTGCAATTCTGGTATTCATTTCATCTACCCTGCCGGACATTGAGAATTACATAGATGGCTCTCAGTGAGATTCTTGCAGCCAAGCATTAAGAGCACCAAAATCCGTCTGTGACCATCCAAGTAATAATGGTCAGATGCTGTATGTCACAAAATATGTACAAAATAAAATCCCCAAGGACAAAACTCCCAGATTATGGGGAAACATCACAATTGTAGGATATCAACTCTCCTGTCCTGATTACTTATTGCATATCACAAGATGTGAGTTACTATAATGACAGGGAAGAGGAGGACATGCAGACTGAGCTGTGGAAGAATTGTGGAAAATGTTGCAGTTTATTTTGAGGTGAGCCTGCTGCACCTTCTCCCATAAAACCCAGAAGACAGTATGAGGTCAGTAATATGTCTTAAGGCACTGCAGACTAGACTTGTGGCTTCCATCTCCACATCTACAGCCAATCTCAAGAAGGCCAATGCTATCAGGAGGTAGGACAAAGCTCTGGCAGCAGAAACAAGAAACTTCCATGAGGGAAAGGATTCAGAGAAAATGCTATGAGGAAGCCAACCTAGATCCCATTTCTACAGGCTATACAAACAGAATGGCATTTCTGGAATCCATATACGCTGTATGTTAACTATTTTTAATAGTTCATCTGGATCTCTGGACTGAGGAGCTACAAAATATGAAAACAAAAAATACTTATTTCATGTACAGGAAGAAAGAGGCAAGTTGAGAGCCTCCATCCTACTCTGCTGCCAGTGCTACAAGATGAAGGGCA